TTCGCAGAGAAGCCTTTGCCCGCAGACCACAATATCCTGAAGGACAACGCGGCAACAAGGCTCAGCGCCAAGCTCAACAAGAGGACGCACCTCGCGCACTTCAACGTGACAGGCTCGACCAGACAGACGACCGCAGCAAAGCCATCAAGCGCAAGGAGTTCTTGGAGAGTCTCAAGGACGACCTACCCAAGTGCTTCAAGAGGCCAAAAGACGCACTCAGGACCGACCTCTATTTGGACAACTACTTCGAGGTCAGCGACGACGAGTTGCACTCGACCGTTCGGCTCCGAGAGGTTATGCTCACCGGGAAGGCCGCTGCTAAGGAGATCGAGTACGACAAGCTCTCCGCCAAGGACAAGAAGCTCATGGACACGGCCATGAAGGTCGAGTGGTCCAAGTGGACCGAGTTCGGGGCCTACAAGAAGCTGCCGCCCAAGGAGCTGAAGGAGATCCTCAAGCGACACCCTGGAATACGACCAGTCGGCACCCGCTGGGTGCTCACGCAGAAGGCCGCCAACCTCATGAAGGCCCGCCTCGTCGTCCAGGGCTGTCAAGAGGACAAGTCCCAGATCCGCGCGGACGCGCCAACCGGGTCAAGGGACGCGCTTTACCTCGCGCTTGCTGCCGCCGCCCAGCTTGGCTGGGACCTCGCGTCGTACGACGCGATGACGGCCTACCTGCAGTCGGGCAATATCGAGAGGCTGTTACTGCTACGCATGCCAGCCAAGAACCCGCCGCCAGGCACACTGCCCGGCGAGATCGTGATGGCGACTGGCGCCATCTATGGTGCCCGAGATGCAGGACGCCAGTGGTACCTCTACGCCCAGAAGGTGTTCCAGGAGCACGGCCTCATCGAGAGCAAGCTCGAGAAGGGCCTTTACTACTTCTACGACGACAAAGGGCTCGCCGTCATGACCCACTCCCACGTGGGCGACTTCCTCATCGCCCAGCGCGGAAACTCCAGCGAGTGGAAGCGAGTCATTAGCTCCTTGCAGAAGAAGCTGCACCTCAAGAAAGTAGAGGGCATCATCGAGTACTGCGGCCGGACCATCAACAAGACCAACGAGGAGTTCCGCATTACCCAGGCGACGGCCGCCGCCCAGGTGGATTTCATCGAACTCAACGCCCAACGCGGACGATCACCAGAAGATCGGCTTACCACCTCGGAGGTCTCGGGATATCGCCACACACTCGGTCAACTGCTTTGGCTCGCAATACAGACTCGAGTGGACATCGCCTGCCCGGCGAGCCTTGCAGCTCGCCGTGCCAACGCCGCCGCCGTGGCCGACGCCAAGACGCTGAACAAGACCGTCGCTTACGTGCACGGGTCCGCCGACTTCGCCATCGTCATCAAGCGCAACATCATCGACCTGCGCACCTGCACCACTATCTGCTTCAGCGACGCGGCCTTCGCCAACGTGGACGGGGTGAAGAGCCAGTGGGGCATGGCGATTGGGCTAACTCACAAGCTGCGGGACGTCGTGGCTGGACGATATGACTTGTGCCTGCCCGTGGCCTGGCGTTCGGGCACGGTCAAGCGATCCGTGAAGTCGACGCTGGCCGCCGAGGGCTACGCCACCCTGGAGGGCGCCGAGTCGAGTACTTGGTTCGGCCAGCTCCTCACGGAGGCCTACAATCCGAAGAAGACGCTCAAGCAGATCGACGACCTCAGCACCAAACGATCCGGGGAGATCTACAGCGACAGCAACGGCCTGGTTACGCACATCAAGTCTGACGTGGGCCAATCCACCGACAAGCGGTTCCGCATCGTCGCATCGATGATCAAGGAGACGGTGCACCCCAACAGCCAGCTGAAGCTCTCGTGGATACCTACGTGGAGTATGGTCGCCGACGCGCTCACCAAGATCGTGGAGACCGGAGTGCTCCTCGCTTTCTTCGGGGCCAAGAAGCACAACTTTGGCACTAGGCAACCGCGCGCCGCCATGCTTGCCTCAGTGCTGATGACATGTCTCGGACGCGTGAAGGCACAGCCTACCTCGCAGGAGATATCATATTGGGTCTGCTACATGGCATTCATCGCGATGCTCAGTGGAATCATGATCGGCTTTACATTGTTCGCAGCGCTGTGGTTTGTGATGCGAAGAGAGATATTTGGGTCAGGCGATCCCAATCCCATTCAGATCGGGACCATCAACAACACCAGCAATGGGTCCAAGGCTGACCACACCGGGCACGCGGACACCCCCTTGCCCGGAGTATATCCAGGATGGGATGGACGATACCTTGGACGCCGCATCAACGTACCGCCTACCATTCCCGAAGACGCCGACGGAGATGTCCACATGGAGCCGCCGATGATTGCCGCTGCAGCCCAAAGTTCATCATCAGCAAGCGGATCGGCAGCGCCAGCCGCGCCGCCATCATCACCGGACAGCTTCGTGCAGGGAGCGAGTTCTGCGCCATCATCGCCGATGACGGTTCACAGTTCTTCGTCAGCCAGCGTGGTTTCGTGGAACGGATCAACGCCAACGGTTTCGCCATCGGAGATGAACGCCTGTGTGATCGCCGAGCACAACATACGCGTGGGACACAACCCACATAGTGTTTACGTGACCTGCAGGACGTGCCGGAAGCACGCGTCATGGCTTCGCCGGAATCACATGACCCATGAGCCAGACTTTTCGAAGATGCGCAACAGTCTGCGCTGGGACTTGCAAAACAGATGGAGGCAGCTTCAAGGGTTGCCCGGCAACGCGAAGGTTCAGAAGACGATTTCGTGATGCAAACCGCCGCTCTGTGCCGCCGCTCTGCTCCGTTTTGCTAGCTTGTTGTTGTTTTTTACACCTGGCGCCACATCGTGTGGCAGACTACGTTAGTCCGCATTGTTTTGATTGTGGAGCTGCCGCGCTCCGCACCCACAGCCCGTTCGAAGCTTCATTCAGTGTGCACAGTTTTTTTCCAAATGTGGTGACGACCACACTATTAAGACCTTATCTCGATAAGATAGCGTTCTTTGAGTCTTGTCGCATAGCGATCGGACTCGCGCTGCTGCTCGCTTTGAGAATTTATTTGTTTCTTGCCGGTGCGTGTAGCAGCACCCGTTAAATGCCCAGAGGCAGCCGGATAGCATGCCGACAAGGCCGTTTGCCTGTGGTTGTTCTGGTGAGGACGCTGCGCCCAGCACCCACCGCGGTGTGTGTCAGCGCTCGCTCTCTCAGCGAAGCGCCCTGACTAATGTAGTGAGCTGCGATCGGTGATCGTCGCTCGACGGCGCCGCAAGCGCCGATCAGGAGGAGTGTGATTTCCGCTCGCTCCCCGAGCCTTTCCTGCCCCTGCTCCTGCTGCTCTCACCCTCCTTCCCGCTGCCTGTTTTGGTTCGGAGCTTACTAGGGCCCTTGGCCTTAGAGCTACGCAGTTTGATTGCCGCGCGATCATTCGACAAAACGATATCAGCGATATCCGACCCTGCGGGTCTTACATATCACAATTTCAACGTATTGTCAGAAGAGAGAAGAGAGTAGCATCTATCAAGATTGCTATCAGGGCAGTGGTCATAAGCGGGACCATTGCAGAGAGGGCCCCAAGATGGCCCAAGAGGCCTCCAAGACGCCCAAGATGGCCTCCAAGACGGCCCTGAAGCACCCCGAGAGGGCCCTAAGTCGGCCCAGAGAGGCCCCCAAGACGGCTTCCGACGGCGTCAGACGGGCCAGGAACCCACCAAGACGGCTCAAGATGACTCTAAGATGGTCCAAGACGGCCCAAGAGGCCTCCAAGAGAGCCTCCATGAAGTTCCAAAGAGGCCCAAATCATGGATTAGTATCAAATTTCTTGAGGATTTTGGCGTGTGCTTCTTTTCGGCCTTCCGACTGCCCGAGACGGCCCAAGAGGCCCAAAGATCGCCCTAGGATCGCCCAACGGCCCAGAGAGGCCTCCAAGACGGCTTCCGACGACGTCAGACGGGCCAGGAGCCCACCAAGACGGTCAAAGAGGATCCCGAGAAGCCACCAAGCGGGCCCCCAAAATGCCTCCAAGAGGTTGCCAGGAAGCTCCCAGGAGGCCTCCAAGAGGGCCCCTAGAGGCTCCCCAAATGCCCCCTCCTCCTCCTCTTCCTCCTCCTCCTCCTCCTCCTCCTCCTCCTCCAGCTCCTCCTCCTCTCCTCCTCCTCCTCCTCCTCCGCCTCCTCGCCTCCTCCTGATCTTCCCCGCCATCCTCCCCAAAGTGTTCCCCGAAGGGTTTCCACAACGACTGGGGGAACACATGGTCCGATAGCTTGGCAGAGCTCTTGCCACAACGCTCGGCCACATGGGCGATTCTAGAAGGCAGGCGGCGGCGGGGAGTCGCCGTATGCATCTTGAACATTTGTTTTCGATTCCCCTCGACTGATGTGCAGTCGATGTCTCCACCGTGCGCCACCCGTGCACACAAACCTGCTGTGCACTGTGCAAAGGCCGGTGCAAGGAAGCGCCACCTCGCCTTGGAAGATGGGCAGGAGAAAACCAAGTTCTGAAACGCGTCGTCCACAAGTCATCTGCTTGCAACCCTGGTAATGAGTACAACTCACCTAATCAACCTCCGCGCATTCTCAACATACGCTTGCAAACCGAGCGCCGCCTGCGCTGGACTGCCGACATCTCTGGGCAGCCTGCTGCGACTGCACAAAACAGACGGTGTGAGCCCAGCTGTTCGCGCACACCCGCTCACCTGAGCGACGATCAAAAACAGATCTTAATTACGCGAGATGACCCCACGGCGGTCCATTTGGACGCCCGAAACGGGCACGGAAAAAATGGGTACAATGCCCAACAACGAATGTTGTCCAAAACCGACAGCGGCCGCTGTTGGGCAGGCGGCTGTTTGTCGTCAAAGAACAACGTCCGCGGCGGCGCGGACAGCGAGCCCGGTTCAAAACGAACAGAATCTGTTGGGCATCGTACACCCATTCTTTCCGTACCCATTTCGACGGTCCCGAGTCCAGAGCGCGGGCGCACCGCCAGCCGGCACTGCCTGGCGCTAGCCGCCGGTAGGCCGCCGAGAGCGGCCTACAAGCGCTGCGGACAGGCGGCGGGCGGCGCCTCGCCCCCCTTGGGCCCTGGCCCGCGGCCGGCCCCGAGCGCCCGGCGGGCCTGCAGCACGGCCGCACCGAGCAGCTGGGCGCCGAGAGACACGCCGACAAAGGCCCCCGCCGCGGCCGGGAGGCCCGAGCCGAAGCGCATGCGGGCGGCGTGGATCGGGCCGAGGACGACGTTGGCGAGGCCCAGGGCCACGGCGGTGTAGCCGCTCCCCTTGTGCCACAGCTCCCAGGCTCGCCGCCAGGGCCCCGGGTGGTCCGGGTGGCCCACGGCCTTCAAGTGGCGCATCTGGGCGTTGAGGGGCTGCAGGCAGCCGAGGACGACGACCACCAGGCCTATGATCTCGTGCGGCAGCCTGAAGTGGGCCGCCTTCTTCCAGAGGATGATGAAGACGAAGCCAACGAGCTGGAGGAGCACGCCGACGGACATCAGCCAACGGTGGCCCTGGAACCACAAGGGCACACCCCCAGGCTTCCACTGGTTCTGCCTGAGATAGTGGGCCCAGATGACCCCTAGGGGCAACAGGCAACCCCACGAGAGGCACATGCAGACGACGTGACCGACGAGCAAGAAACGTGGCTTGAGCGAGAAATCCTGGTCCGCTGGGGTGTCGCAACTTCCAGCGCAATAGCCGTCGCATTCCGTGATGTTGGAGCATGCGGTGAAGACCGCACCTCTGAGGACGCCGTCCTCCTGGCTGTGATACCCCTGGACAGTGACCGTCAACGGCGCGTGGTCCTGGATGCTCCCTTTAGGGAAAGAGTCGATAAAACCCAGCGCGGCTTCCTGGGAGTGCTCGTCCAGCGTGAACTTGATGCGGTACTCCCCGCCCGCCGTCCGCTCCGCCAGGAAGTAGCCGTCGCGGCACTGCGGCACGTCTCGCAGGCAGTGCAGCGTGTGCTCCTCGGGCCCGATGATGACGTTGCTGCCGTCCAGCGAGACACCGCCGATATTGCACAAGCTGTAGCAATAGAAATCCACTAGGTACCCGGAGTAGGACGTCGGCGTCCCGCTGCCGGTGCCGAGCGCCGCGGGCAGAGCGTGTGCGAGCAAGGCGCGGACGCGGGCCATGGCCGCCGTGGACCGCCGGCGGGATGCTCTGGCCAGGCACCGAGTCGTGGTCGATCAGAGCGGGTGCCCCTCGTGGCAAATCTTGAGCCACAAGGCCTGAGAATTCCGCCGTTGCCCAAGATGGTCCCGGGAGCCTTCTCGGGCGACGCGTGGGCCGCCTCGGAGGCCCAGCGAGTTGGCCCAAGACACCCACATCTGTGGTCCCCGCGAATTTTTGTGTGATCTGTCCCTGGTCGCGCCTCGCAGAAAGAATTCTAAATTACACCGGAGAAAACCCAATCAGTGGATGGTCCGAAAGTTTTGTAAGCACAATGTTCGGCCGCAGTTTTGTAAGAGGGCCCTAGGAGGCTAACTCATTGATTGCTCTTGCGTGTTGGAAGGGTTGTGGCATCCTCGCTACTTGTGGCGTCCGTCGGCTCAACATGGCTTGGGGGGTCTCCAATACTTCCCCAAGACGGCGCACGAGGGGCCCAAGGTGACCCGGGCGGGCCTGCGGAGGTACCCTCGACGGCCTGAGAGGGCCCCTCGACGACTCAGAAGTCAAGAAGGCCACAACACGTCCCCACAACGGCCCGGAAAAACATCAGCATCGGCAAAAGAGAAAGAAAGAGAGAGAGAAGGGCGCCCACCGACAACCACCCACCGAAATCACCGAAATCGGCCGGCTACTTTCGCCATTCTTTTTAGGGGGCGCCCACCACAATCGGCTGGCTACTTTCGCCAATCTCTTCTTCGTCCGCTAGGACCCCGTCAGTGCAAACACTGATTGGGGAATCCAATGAACAGACAGGCCACAGAAGAGCCCCACGGGGAAAAAGGAAAGCCGTTTGAGTCTTTTGCCAAGCGTATCCAATACTAGTGCAACATACAAGGCATTCTTTGTACACCCGCCTCAGGCTCGCCTGACAACGGACAACCGCGCCAGGGTCGCCGAGAAGCAGTTGACTGCGCAACTTCCTTTGGTTCCCTTTCTGGTCTAGGACTGAATATGCCTAGTCTTTCGGGCACCCCTGGTCCAGTCCGTCTCCAGCGTTTCGGCGTGTGGTTGGCTATCCTCTTCAGGACCTGCCACAACCAACCACACGGGGCAGGCCGACGCTGTCACGAACGACTCCTCTGTTTCCGACTGTGCGAAAACACCACGCGAACCTCTAGAATGCAAAGATACACTGTGCCTGGCTGTATTCTGGGACTCCGTCGTACACACCAAAATTGCCAGAAGATGTCAAGCCAGGCTCTGAGAACCTGCTGTTTTGGCTTTCAAAGAAGGGAGGAAACTACTGTTTCGCCCTGAGCCTTCCTCACAATTCCTTCAGGAATCGTGCTCTCGCCTGAATTGTGCGCGTTCTTTTATTTGGCGTTTCGGAAAGGGGGGGGGTCTGGCTCGGGACCTCTGCTTAGTGCGGCTGTTTGGAACCGTGCGTCCTATGGGGGAGACTCTACCCGCTCGAAACAGTCGCCAAAAAACAGCCAAGATCTACTCCATGGGGGGGGGGAGGGGGCCCGCGCCGATCGGCAAAACAATGCATAAAGCAACGACGTCATTCCCCAGCTACATGCTTGGTCCAGACGGTCGCGATCCCCTGTGAAACGCACACCAAGTTGCACGTGGCTGCGCTCCCACCCTGCACGGCTTCCCCCGGGGCCGTTGGCGACCCCAGGAGGAGGAGGAGGAGGAGGAGGAGGAGGAGGAGGAGGAGGAGGAGGACGGGTCGCCTAAGCACTTCGGAGAAACCCTCCATCCCACCCCTGTCCCTTCTAGCCGACCTCCTGCTCCTCGACCCGCCTCTTCACCTCCGCTGCTGTCAGGGTGCTTTGCTGGGGTAATCGCATTCTCGCTTTTTCGCAAGGCGGCCAACGAGGCACCCAATGTCGCCCAAAGATGGATAACGCCCCCCCCCCAAGGGTGGCCCAATAGACCCCCAAGACGAGCCAGGACGGCCCCAAGAGGCGCTCAAAAGGGGAAAACGAACCTATATGTCGACTTCTTTTCCCTAATATACCCTCCGTGACAATCAGGAGGCCCCCCAGAGCCCAAGAGGCCCCCACGAGGCCTCAAAGAGGCCCCCGAAAGCTCAGAGAGGTCCCCAGGAGACCTCGAAAAAGGCTGTAAACATACCTACAAGAGGCTTCCCAGAGACCCCATCCACGGCACAGGCACGGTGGGGTCGAAGGCTTTTGGGTGTTCTCCTCCTTTTTCGGACCTCTGGGTGTCTCCTGGGGCCGGGGGGCCTCCTGGCAGCGGCGCCGTAGACGGTGATTTTCGACGGCTTCGTCGTCATCGTCGTCGTCGACGACGCCGTCGTCGACTCGACGCCGCCGTCGCCGACAATGGTTTTCAACATCTTCGGTAGCGCCGTTGTCGTCGGCGATGATCTCGAGACGTCAGCGACGGCGTCGTCGTCGGAGTCGACGTCAAAGGGCGGGAGGGTGCGATGACGACGTCACCGACCACCCCATGACGGTCCGTCTGTCTGTCCGTGGCGTTGGCCAACCAATCGAAGCATATGCCTGCCAACGTGGACTCCTCTTGTGGATTCTTGCATTGCTGATTGGTCACATCTGTGCTGCAGTATGTGTATTGTGCGACCTGGTGGAGCAAGCTAGATTGCGCAATCTGACTGCGGGTCCAGACCCCTCCGCCCCCCCGTTCCTTCCCTCCCCGCCTCCCTCCGCCCTCCGCCGCCCCCTGGGCTCCTTCTTCGAGGAGGCCCCCGCGGGGGGGAGGGCCCCCGATCTTTTCCTCTCCGGGGACTAGGCCAGGCGGTGGCCCCCTGTGATCCAGCCCTCAGTCCGTCCCCGCGCCCATCGAGCACGCACCTCGCGAAGCCGCGCGCCGCATCATCTCCGCCGCCCCCTTCCCCTCTCCGTTCGGGGGCGCCCCTTCCTTCTGATCCCCCCTCGCCGCCTCCCCTGGGGCGCCCCGCCTGTGCGGCCACCAGCTCCGCCCGCAGCGACCGCGCGGTGGCCTCCGCGGCGCCGGCGGCCGCCTCCGCGCCGGCCTTCGTGAGGACGCGCACCGCCGCTGTCGGTGGTCTCCGCCGCCGCCGCCGTGGTCGCCGTGGTCGAAGCCGCCGCTGGTCGTCGTGGCCGTCGTGGTCGTCGCCGCCGCCGTGGCCGTCGTGGTCGTGGTCGTGGTGGTCGCCGTCGTGGTCGCCGCCGCTGCTGTGGTCGCCTCGGTCGCCGCCGCTGTCGTGGTCGCTGCCGTCGTCGTGGTCGTCGTTGCGGTCGTCGTGGTGCCAAGATCGGAGAGTCGTCGCGCGAAATACGGACGGGCACCCACAATCAGGTCGGGCGTGTCCTCATACAGGCGGGTTTTGGAGGGAAAATGATACATAGCCATATGTATGTATGTATATAAAGTAGTCGTAAATCATCTCCATGCCATATTGTTACCATTTTTGAATTTCCCTCCTCTAGGGGGACATGCCCGACTTAAACCCACAGGTGACCGACAAGAGGAAAGGGATCTTACGCGAGAGGGCGTGGCGACCTTGGCGCGGTGGTCTGCGCGGGCCCCCACCACGGCCCGCCGCATGGGAGACGAGGCCGCTTGCACGCGACTTCGCGCGGGCAGCTTGCGCGCGAATGTCTGCCCAGTCGTGTCCGTCTTTTGTTGTTTGTTGTGATTGCCAAAAGAGTGGAGGCCGGTCCACGGGTGTCCTGCCGGGACGCGCGGTGACGACGCCATCTGGCGCAAGAACATCCGCGAGCGGGATGCTTTCCAGGAGGGGCTCCGACCGAAGGCCGCCGAATCCGAGCGGCAGGTCGTGGGACGCACAGAGACATACTAGTGCTATATGCCCTCCTCGGAGGCGCGCGTCCGACCCGATCATCTGGTAGAACCACCTTGTAGCACTTTGTTTCCCGAGCGGCACGGCCCGAAGTGCCCGCCACGATGCCTATAGTATAAGATTGTTCAGTGCGCGCGTCGCCCCTGGAGGGGCGACGCACACATAGTTTGAGTAGGGCTGGGGGGTCAGGTCAGCAGAACACCCCGAACGAACGTCAAGGGGCGCAACCAATCTGTTCGGTCAATCTGAAACTGATGTACCACACTCGGCGTCCAGCCGGAACCTTGGACATATGCGAATGGCTGGAGGTTGCACGCCTTCGTCGGCTTAACCGGCGAGGCGTGTGACCACCTCGACGTCCCTTTTCTGGTGGTCCTGCAGAGGAAGGCGCTCTCTGACCCTCAGCTCTGCTCCGTGCATAATATTTGCAGGTTGGGGTGCCGCCGAAGTCGCGCCGTCCTGAAGTCACAGGGGTGAGGGGGCGTGCCTCCCGCTGCGCGCGTCGCCCCTGGAGGGGCGACGCACACGTAGTTCGGGGATGGACAGACCCCCCTTTAGTAAAACGTGGTTTAGTGAAAACGACCTGAGGCCCAAACCTGGCGGGCGCAAGCCTGGAAAATAGCGGCCACGGCGCCCTCTCGAGAACCGAAAACGGACAATTCACTAATCGACGTCTCACTGTTGGGGGTTCTGTCCAGCCCCGAATGGTATCACATCTTCCAAATCACATCAACATCACACAACAAACAAATTGGGGTGCCGCCGAAGCGGTCGTCCGGAAGTCCGGGGGGGGGGGGGGGGGGGGAGGGGGCTGCCTCCCGCACTCTCGCGGGGGTGCCGCGCGATGCCCCGCAGAGAGCACGCGTGGGGCTGCCCTGCCTCCCGGGGGCCGCAGCTCATCCCCCCTTCCTCCTTCCTCTCGCTCCTCCTCCATTCCTCGCGTCCTCCACCTCCTCCTCCTATCTCCTCCTCCTCCCCTCCCTCTTTCCTCTCCCCCCCTTCGTCCTCACCCTTCCTCCTTTTCCTCTTCCCACCAGCTTCCTGCCTCGCTCGCCTCTTTTCCTCCAACCACCTCCTCTCCCTCCTCCTCCTCTTCCTTCCTCCTCCCTCGCTCCTCCCTCGCTCCTCCTCCTCTTCCTCCTCCTCCTCCTCCTCTGTGGCCATTTTGGCTCAAGCCACTTTGGCTCAAGTTCCAAACCTTGCCCT